TCTTCGATACCGGGGATAGAAGTGTTATCGGACGATAAGACTCCTTTGTTGGCTGGTTTCCTCGGCTTGAGCAGTAGCATCACTTTCCCTGTCTTTCAGATGTCTGGAATGACGAGAGCGCCATTGACAGATTGAGGACCAAGCTAGGTACGCTACTCACGCAGGACCCAAATTTTTCAGCATCAACATACATATTCCGTCGGGGCCCATAGCTTTGGCGGCTTTCGCCTTCCGGATGGCTACCTGTACTTCACCACCGGTGAATATAAGAGGCGCACTTGTTGTTGGCAGTTTGTGCGGTCTTCTGGTTCTCGATGCCTGGCTTTGTCCACCGGAGGATGCAGTATAAATTTTCCGGCTAAAATAGCTCATTTAGCTATATTTCGACTCTGTCGTCGCACTTTGTCGGATTGGACAGTGACCTCCCGCTTATACACGTTCACAAGCTGCCGAATCTCTGTTTTGAGATCCCTGATGCGGGAATGTCCGGGATCGGCCTGACGAATGTTGTCACGCTCTTCGGCTAGAACAGCCACTTCAGCAGGAAAGTTGGACGGGGGTCCATTATGCAACCGGTTGGTACGAAGCGAGCTGCTGCAGCAGTGACAACCCTGCGGAACTTACGTTCACCTAGGTGAACGTCAGTTGGTGTGGGCAAGGCAGCGATAGTGCTTTCAGTAAATTCCGCGAAGCCTTTCCAATCAGCTTTGGTGAAGCTGATATATGTCCGGTGTTCCGCGGAAGCAAAGTCGGCTGATTTATCGATCGAGATGACTATGGGCAGATAGTCTGATGCCAAGGACAGCACAGGTCGCCATGATACGCTGTTTATCAGACCAGCGCTGACTATTGTTGTCTGGCGATCTGCAGCAGCTGCCCATAATCCTGGTGGGGCGTCGTCGTTCATTGTGCAGAATGTCGAATCGTCTATGTGTTCAGCTAAGTGTGTTCCCCTACGATCATTTGACAGGCTTGAATGCCAAAGATTGTGGAGCGCATTATAGTCGCCAATTACCATACGGTTTTCACCTCTGAGGAGCGCATCTATTTTTGGGAGATATCCTGCCGGGCAGCTGGTGACAGGGGGTATATATACGTTAAATATTTGGAGTTTGACATCGCTTGGAGACGATACTGCACGGTGTGGTGCGTGATGAAAGCTAGGGCACCACCATTATCTCGCTCCCAATTTTGACAGTGCATAGTGTATCCGGCGCAATACAACAGTGTTGAATTTCTGTGCAACTTCGGCTCTTGAACCGCAGCTATAAATATTCCATGCCTCCCCATGAAGACGGTTATCTCCTCGGTCTTGCTCTGAAGCGAGGGATGTGTATTTCCTAACCACTAAAGGCTGCGTGCGCTCCTTGCGGGGGTGCCGCCCTGTAGTGGTAGTGGGTGGCGCCGCAAATGGAGCTTGCGCCCGTGCAGCGCAACACGGGCCCTCGTAGTCCCTTGTCCAATCTCGCGGCATGTGGGTAGTGGTGCGGTTGTGTCTGTTGTGTGGTCTGTCGTGGTCTCTCGTGGTTCGGTCTATTGTGTTGTGTTGTGGTGCTGTGGTCTTTTGTGTTGAGATGCTCAGGCGGACTAGGGCAGCAGGAGGTCACAAATTAAGTGGTCTACGGTCGATGTGTCCGTAGATCTGAGCAGACGCTAAGTTGAATCCACCCGTTGCAAGCATTGAACTTGACTGAGGTGAAGTTGTGGCGTAGTCGTCTCTGGCATACACAGCAGGACTCATTTATTGGCCAAATCCGCTTGTTAAGGAACCAAAAGCAATGGCCTCTTTTGTCCCGTCGGGTATACGTAACCGGAATGTTTCAGAGCAATATCTGGCCAAGAACTATCACCCCAGCTGGTTCCCCTAAAAGTCGAATTTTAAAATTTTATTATTTTTTGCGATCGTCTTTTATATTTTAACGCTCATGTTATACCATAAAATTATGGTTACATAACTAACATAACTTCAGTTCCGAGAAGTGAAATTATTGAATCCCATAAAAGCGTTCGGAAATGTATCACACAAGAAAAATCGAAAAACTGAAATTTATTATTTTGGGTCAGCCTGTGCCATATTTTTACGAAGCAGAGGGAAAAGACAGAAAAAGATAAAAAAAAAACAAAAGTGTCATCAAACAATTAAAAGGTTTTTTGCTGCAGCTCGCATTTTTTAATTAATTTCATTCCACTAAACCTGCGAATTTTACTTAAATAAAGTGAAGATACTTTGTCCATGTAAAAGAGTATGTTCCTTACTATTGAAATGCGTTTAAATTCCTCTCCTTGATAGCTCCTATTACGTGAATTTACAACGTGTGATGTGTGATGTCGGCAATTGTCTGCTCCCTAATTAACAAATTTAATTAAGCGATAATTAAAGTATTGGTGTGAGGCACAGAAAAAGCATAGTGAAGCAAGCGATCGAAACTAAAGTTGCGTCAACTTATCAAAAGCGAAAATAAAAATTGATTTCAACGCTCAGAAAATGATGGACGAACAGTTAATTGATGAAGTTGGGCAGCATGGAGTTATATATAATCGTCAGAAGTATTACCTTAACGGTAGTAATGGACCAGGTGGAGGAGGAGGGAAGTATGAAACAAAAGATGAGGCATGGCAAACTATTGCAATTAAATTGCGTACAGATGGTAAGTGCTATTGATATTCTATTCGAATTCTTTCACTCCAAAGTTTTACTATTCTCTGTAGTTGAGACTTGCAAGAAACGGTGGAAATACTTGCGGGAACGTTATGTATCACAACGCAAGCAAGGCGACCCGCCGGTATATGAACATCTTTCTCGTCCCTATCTTGAGAAGATGAAATTCCTTGATCAGCACATACAGCCCCGGAAATCATACCGAAATGTGCCAAGTTTTCTCACATCCCCCCCACTCGGTGAACAGTTCCAACTACAGTGAATTCAATATGGACTCAAAGTCAAATGGGTCTATGAAGAACATGGGTCATTTCGGCAACTCGGCTGTCTCTCAACATCATTACCACCAACCAGATCATCAGCACCCTATTTCTGCACTGAGCTCTGCTGCTGTAAATGCGTCAACAACAGAGAATGGAAATGGACAGGTAAAAATTGAAGCCGATCAAATGTTTCGCGATTTTGCCGCTGCTGTGGCCTCACAACAGCTCCAACAAATATCACACACGCAGCTACAACATCATCAAGCTGCTGCAGTGGCGGCCGCTATGGCCGATTCCTCTCAAAACTATAATGAACACTATCGAGAAGGAAACAGCTTGAGTGGTAATGGTGTAACTCACAATGGTAATGGCAGCGGTATGGGCATATCGTCATCATCATCTTCAATGAAATCACCATTATCATCTCCTTTAGATGGCGTCAACAGCAACAATCATAGTGGCACAAGTAAATGCATTCCAGTTTCTTTCCAAAATCCTTAATAATCCGTTATTTTCTCATCTTTAAGGTCACAACCCAAGTGGCGCGCAGCAGGCAGTAGCCCACTCATCGTCCTCCAATCAAATGGCTACCAATTCATATGGCGACACCAATAACGATGAACTAGATTCATCAACTGGCAGTAATCATCATACGAAAAAGCCACGTGTGCAGCTAAATTCAAATGTCGCCGGTATGTCACATAACAGCAATCATGCTCAGCAACCATACTCTGGTTCACAGAATACTTCAAATTCCACTAACGCACACTTCGCTGACGATACCGATGATGATTCAGATGATAATAGTAGTAGTTTATTACAACCACAAACAATATTAAATGATAATCAGAATAACCATTACGATAATGCGGCTTCGACTTCCTCAGCGGCGGCCATGCAACGCAGTTCTGGTTCGACAAACAGTGGCCAACAACAACAACAAGGCATGTTTCCCGCAAATGCCGACTTCCTCTTTCAGCTTTATCAGCAACTGCCTCACCAACAGCAAAACCTAACTACACCTCAGCAACAACAGAATTTCAATAAGTTTCAAACGCCACAAAATCCCACACCGGCGCGTAGTTCCGAGCATCTATTGGGTGAATTGGTAACAACGGAACTATTAAAAATGTCAAAGGACCGTCGCAAAAATGTTCAAAAACGTATTCTGGAAATACTATTCTTTGATGATTGAACAAAAATAAATATACACAACGGCATAAGCAAGTGTTAAGAATAAAGGTGCTCCTCGTGGCATCGAATAAGCAGGTGGCATCGCGGGAAGTGTATTCATTCCAGCTAGATTATAAGCCCAACTTCCAAGCGTATATATAAATTTTAGGTATATGGTTAAAGAATAGTTTAAGCATGTAGAACCCACCTAAATTATTTTTAATATTTTTATGTTTTTTTCGTGTTTTTATCATAATTTATAACCTTTAAAATAAACTCTTCTCTTCTACTCTAGTCAGTTCGTAAAGTTTGCCTTAAATGTCTTGCTTACATTTTCAAACAATTATATAGTCGCTAATTTCATTTCTGTACTTTAGATCTTTAGACATATGCACGCATGTATTTTTATATAACTATAAAAAAAAAAAACTATTTTAGTCAGTCAACAGTAAACCCATTTAAAATTAGTTAAGCTACATACATAAATATGTGTATGTATATTAAAAACTATCGACACCGCTTGAAGATATTAACAAAATAAAGTAAAGCAGAATATGCAAGCATTTCGTAGACATTTCTTACCGGGCTTGATAAAGGAGCTGGGAGTCGCCGTGGTCGAGTGGTTAGAAGTGTGCCCTGCCACTCGGTAGGCCCAAAGTTCAATCCATGGACTGACCATCCGTGTCGCCCTTCGGCAGGCAATGGCAAAGGGCCAATTATTTATATATAAGCGAAAATGATCATAAATTAATTTTATGAAATACCGAAACTGTTGGCAGCCCTAAAGGTAAAAGCTGAAAATTCAACGCCGTCACATTCGATTCCGTCGGCGCAAGCCTTTGCACGGCAAATCAGCTGGTTTCGCTTATTTGATTTTTGCTTTTCAACTAGTTTGTGTTATTTTAAGTGATAATTAGATGGGAAAAAGAAAGTGTATGGGATTCTACTCTCAATTTTAATAAAGAAATCGATTTTTAAAAAATTTTAATTGTACACATCTTTCTTTCATTATTGAATACACGATCAACGAAGAAAATGTTTTCACTCACGCGAAAATGGTCACAATTGCGGTCCAGTGTAAATGCAATCACATCAGCGAGCGCCACCAATAGTAGCAGCAGCAACAATGGCATCAGCAATGGAATCCATTATCATTGGGAAACAAAGCACAATACACAGAAATTAGCTTTGAAAGCGCCGCATGAGCACAAATTGTTGAAAAGATATGAACGGTAAGAGTAATTTGGTGTCTACATTTTTGTCTTGGGGATTATATAAAAATAAATTAGGGGTATTCTCTGAGTCTTGCAAAGCCCTTGCACCGTGCACGTATTGCACGGTTTGCAAAGCTGTCCCATACGAAAACCGGTTTTTACCGTGCAATCTGTGCACCATGCAAGGGCTTTGCAAGACTCAGAGAATACCCCTATTGTAAAACCTGCATGTCGGGGGAGGATACCAATTCTTATCAAAAATGTTGCATGCATATTTGTTTATTATATAAATATTCTATGATACAATGGTCTAGTTAAAGCGCCAATGCTTGAACATTTTTAAACGCGGCAGGATAAGTTACTTTCCTGCATAACGTACAATTCCAGGCCACTTAACAGTATTGACGCCATTTCTAAAGTTAGCTGGTAAATCACAAATTCCATTCGTAATTATTTGCATATGCATACATACACATAAGCATACATACTTAGTTAAGAAAAAGGCCGCGTAAGCATGCATAATGAAATTGATTGAACTTGCGGTTAAAAATTCATAAGAAACTGTTTCGTATAGAGTTGATACCCATCCTAGGATATAAATGTTTAATCTCCTAAGTTGACTATTTACCTACTATCTTCTTTGCATGGTAAACTGATGAAGAGTTTAGTAGTCCCACATAAATTTAAAATATGAATCGTGTGCCTATCAACACATAATCCACTCTTTAGATTCTATCGAAAAAAATATGGGTATTCATCTAAAAGCGTAAATGCCTCGTAACGCAAAAATCTCGTAAATAATCCGGTTTTGAATACAAAATTAAGTAAGTTTACAAGGTTTACTTGGTTACGAGATTACGCGTTTAGATGAATTGACCTAATATTTTCCCAATCTATGAAATCAGCAATGCAAAGTTTTTCAACGTATAAGTGGACTCTTAATACCTCAAAATAGGATGGTTCTTCGCATTCCGCTAAGAGTTCACTGCATTACATGCAAGTACTGCTCTTTACGGGTCGCTGACTTGCTTACATTATAATTTCATTGGCATACTTATTTCCATAGATTCTTGTATAATTATGTATGTGTACATGCATACATATACTCACTATTTACTAATGAGTGCTATAAATAGCTTACTAAGCGTGAGTATAATTTACATAGGTTTTTTTTACATACCCAACTATGGCATATAAATCTTGCATCTTAAAGCCAATTCAAAAAGATTCTTCGCATACCAACGACATGGAATGATTTTTATAGTGTCTCCGCTTTCAAAAATATATGATGCTTTTATCATATTCCCATTTTTGATTCTGCCTTAACTTTTCCTCTACAACCTAACTCGTACTTTAACTATGGACATTCATACATAAACCCATATGCACATATTGTCAACTGAAATGCAAATAGACGTAACAAATATATGCACTGAAAAGCAAAAAGGCATAACTTATAAAAAATCAAAATTCCCTTTTTGATTGATATGATTGGATTTCATCGAATTAAAAATACCTACATCATTTTATATAAAAAAAATTATTACTCACCACTTTTTTCATTTCAGTGACAATACCTTTATATGTATGTATGTATATACCTGTATCGAAACTCTTTCATGCTTGTTTGCATATTATGCAAGTATACGGCTAGGTTTTAAACAAATTTCATTACAATACAAATAAAAAATCAAACCCATGTAATAACAGTAAAAGTGATGTAACCGTTTACACATTTGGGCAAGGCTTAAATACATATTAAATACAAGAATGGTAATTTATTTAGTGCTTCTCAATTTGTCAGTAAATAAATTATGGTACACCAAAAATTATGTGTATTTTAGTACAAAAAAAAAATTGGTTTACTGGCAGATATTGGCTGAATGCATATACATAAATACAGATCATTCGATTTATGTAGGGAGTATTTATGTTGTTCACTTGCTACTGTAATGTATTGATATATTCATGCCTTTGTTTATTTTGCACTTTTTTCTCCTTTATAGCACTTTATCAACACTAACGAATCATTCAGTGCCAATAGCTGGACGTGTAACAATATCAAAGGAGGAAAGTCGTGACTTCATGGCCGTATTTCCAGGTTAGTAAAAAAATATAAAGCCTTTTTTTTATCTGTCACACTTGCTATATTTTGTTTATTTCATACAATAAGTTTAAACGATCGCAGGCTTGGGTTCAAGAAAAGAGCAAATATTTGCATTTCTTTGTATTTAGTATAATAAGTTTATAGGCATTCGTATTTTAATGCAAATGTGTCTTCCTGATTTTAACTCAATTGGCTTACTATTTCAAAAGAAACAGATGCATATTTAACGTAAAAGCCCGCACATGGATTTCCACTGTTTATTATTCGTACTACAATGAAGCTGTTCAGTACTTGCGCTAAACTTTAAATAAAAATTCCTAATTATGGATTCTGCTTTTACAGATGTTGTGCGCGAGCTGTCCGAAGTAGCTAAAAGTTACAAAACACATGAAGCTGCGACCTGGTTCACAAAGGTATTACTAATAGTTACACTCGTATATACCTTACAGAAACAGTTCAAATTTGTTTCGTTTATTCCAGGCCCTAGAGTACAATGTGCCACTTGGCAAGAAGAACCGTGGTCTACTCACCGTTTTAACGTATAAAAATTTAGTCAAACCCGATGACCTCACACCCGAAAATATAAAATTGGCGCAATATCTCGGCTGGTGTGTTGAAATGGTAGGTATTTCAGCTCGAAGTTATCACACTGCACACTTTGCTTTAATGCAATTTTTAATGCCATAATCGAACCACCTCGACTACTACATACCAATATTTATTTATTTGGTTTGATAGCTGCAATGTTTCTTCATCATTTCCGATGACATCATGGACAACAGCACTACGCGACGCGGCCAGTTGTGTTGGCACAAATTGGAGGAAGTTGGCTTAATTGCCATCAATGATGCGCTGATGATTGAGAATGGAATCTTTGAATTGCTACGTAAAAATTTCCGCCATTTAGCTTGTTATGTTGATCTGCTAGAACTTTTCCATCAAATAACTTTCATTACAACTTGTGGTCAATCTTTGGATTTGTTAAATGCCAATAAAAATGTCAGCACCTTCACTATGGACAAATACGACTCCATTGTTGCGAATAAAACTGCATATTATACTTTCTATTTGCCTGTAGCATTGGCTTTGCATTTGGCGGGGTGAGTGAAAACATGTACATGCTTATTTTTTTTCATTTTATAAAAAGCTTATTTTTTCGGCAGCGTTAAAGATCGCGAGATTTTCCGCCAATCCAAAACCATTCTTTTGGAAATGGGTCACTTATTTCAAGTGCAGGATGACTTTCTCGATTGTTTTGGAAATTCCGATATTACTGGTAAAATCGGCACAGATATACAGGACAACAAGTGTTCCTGGTTAGCGGTGGTTTGCATGCAGCGTGCTAGTGCCGAACAAAAAGCTATAATGGAGGAGTGCTATGGGAAAAATGGTGGGTGTGGGGCATTAAAAATGCAATTATCATATCTCTATTCAATGTAGGACTTTAAAACGAATTTCCATCCATTTCAGATCCAGAGAAAATCGCGCGTGTTAAGCAACTTTACGAAGAATTAGACATTGCCAGCTTATACGCCATATACGAGGAAGAAAAATACAATTTGATAAAAACGCACATCCAACAAAGCTCACTTGACATACCACATGAGATCTTCTTACAAATACTAAATAAAATTTATCAAAGGGACTCATAAGCAAGAATGCAGAAAATAGAATAATAATAGTGTCACGAATGCAGCTAATGTTTGACAGCTACGTCGTGAAGTCAAACAATTTACTATTTAAATTTTCAACACCGGGAGCGTTGTCAATATCCATTCGTTTACACTATGTTTAAACTTTGATGGACTCCGGTTGGTGCAATGTTCAGCCAACTTATTTAAGTTTTTATTAATGTAATGGCGTTTTTGTAAATGTCACAATGTTGTAAAAAATGATGTATATGTATATCTCCGATAGCCAAGATAACGATTTAAATATGTATGTATATACATAAATAAAGGAATTTCTAGTTTGTACTTTTAACCTATAGTAGTATTTCTAAAAAATTATTTCTAAAAAAATAAATATTGGAAAGCGCTATATGTATAAGGATATCGTCGCCTGGATAAAATACTGTCGTGTGTTACTTTCGGCAGGTTTTGGGAAAATCGCGATTGACGTATGGAATGCAATTTCTCAAAATGGCGGCGATAGATTTTCTCCAAAGTCTCGGAGAATGTTACCAGTTCACGAGATTGTTAAATTACTTTATTTTTATTTTTTATTGTTAAGTATTCATGAAATTATGAAGGATTTTTTTTAGTCAAATTTTGATGTATGCCTACGGTGGCCATTCGTGCCGTTTTTGGCGAGGCAGTACCGATTTTAAGGAAATCGTCCCGCAGAATATTTTTTAAAAGTCGGGACGTACAAGTGTCCCGATTTTTGATATTTGTACCGATTAAGTGCCGAATTTCAGTGTTGTATTTATTGATTTAATTAGAGTTTCCTTGTACTCCGGCCCAAAAATAATTTTTCGTACAAACGCGACAGCACTATCGTTATCACAAAGAACATAGAATATAAGGGAGCCTTAAACATAGCCAGCATCTTTATTTTCGATGATCGTTGGTTATGTTTTAATCTGTCAAACTGGTACTCTCTCGCTTTATTGGAGTCTATCATTCTTCTGTAAATTTTTTTTAAAAAGGAGGTTATCAATACGTCAGAAAATTTTTTATATATACTATCGCATAATTTTAGACATCCTTAACAGATTTCTATAATTATTTTTCTAACGGAAAGGCGGAACCTCAGAGGTGGTCCGGTACTAGTTTGGTGTAGGTCCGGTCATTTCATCATTAAGAAATTAACGGTTATCAAAAATTTTATATTAGAATTGAAGTCAGTTTTGCTTTTTGTTTAAAAATCACTTATTTAATTATTTGTTCAGTTATTATTTTTTTTTATGAAGCGGTTCTAACTTGAATTTAGTGAAATTATAAAAAATATACTAATTCCTACAAAAAAATCCCCCAATAGATATGAAAAATATAAGTTGTAGATACAGTGGCAAAAATATAAATTGGAAAAAGACATTTTAGCATTCTTTGGCGTTATTTAATGTTTATTATTATTTTATGCAAGTTACCTCGATATCTAACAAAGACCATGAATGTAAAAGTTTCAGACTTTGCACAAAAATTAGCAATATTCGAAAAAATTGGAAAACCGGTGTTGCCACATATTTCAAATATCAAAAAAAAAAAATATTACATAAGCCTCAATAATGTTAGTAATTGCATAAACAAATTTAAAAAAAAAAAATTGAATAGGGTTGCCACCACTCGAAAAAATCTTTACATATAAAAATGAATTGCTGTTCGTTTGTTATCGCATAACTCAAGAACAGCTCAACGAATTTGCTTCGTTTTTATTTCATTTTGTTTCTCTATGTCTGTAGAAGGTTTGTAAAGAAAAAAATTGAAAACCCGGTATTGCCAGATATCTGAATTACAAAAAAAAAATAATTTAAATAAGCCGCAATAATGTTATTCCACTGCGAATGTATGAAAACACTTAAAACAAAAAAATTTGCATAGGGTTGCCACCATTCGAATACAATCTCATGTCACTAGATATGGCACGATTAATCGAAAAACCGATTATAAACGGTTATTTTCTTTCGGTTAACGACTAAATTGTATCAAAATTTTCCGTTCATTTAATCGAACGATTAACCGAATAATTTTCAAATTAACCGAAAAGAAACCATCAAAAATTTACTCCTTGACTCACGCAAAAATGTAAACATCAAAATTACGTAATCAAACATTTTTTTCAGTTGAAGCTTTTGATCGTCTTTTTTCATATGAAATCCTTGAAAATTTTTTTATGGAAAAAAATATACAACACCGGCGGCAAAAAATTTACATTTTATTATACTAATATTGAAGGGGCTACAGAACTGCATACACCAAATCCTCATTTCATTTCATTTTATTTGCTAAAACATTAGTACAATAAAATCTGAGATCTTTTATAGTACAACCAGAAAGAAGGAATCTAATTAAAAAACTCGAAATTTTTACGAATGTTTATTGAATTTTTTGAATATTACACAAAGTCTGATCTTGGATTCATACGTGTTTTGTTAAAAAATTCACACATTTTTATAAAAATTACTCAAATTAAATAACAAAAAGTTTAATTCTTAAAATTTGCCAATTTGGGATGGGTTTATAATTTTGACATGGGGTGTATTGGTATGCTACCTTCCAACTTTTTATTTCTTATTTTCATAGTCTTCTCGATTGTTTACGCACCGAATCATAGCGTAAGTTTCCACAATTTTACAAGAAATGTATCCTTTAATAAAATGGCCAGTTTTTATAACTTATGAAATGATATTTATTTATTCTCGATTTAATCGAAATGACCGATTAATCGGTTAATTTCCTACGATTATTTGTTATTAATAATCGAATGCTTTCTATTAATCAACAATTAACCGATTAATCGATTATTGGATTTTTTCGCCATCACTACATGTCACGGTATTTGTGGTCAACTCCTCCGAAACGGCTAACCGATTTGTATGAAATTTTTTGTGTATATTTGGAAATATGTGAACTTAATCGCATACTCATGGAAAAAATTAATGTTATTGGAAAACCGAATTTTTCATGCCGCATATCTATGGAGGCGTTCATGGTAGGGTACTAGTTAGAACTTGGTATGGAGATATATAAAATCAATTTAGAAAATGGGCGCGGGGAACAGGTTGTTAAGTGCATTTCACACCGCTAAGTAAAGAAGGCGTGGCACCTCCTATAAAAACCTAATTTTTCATACTGCATATCTCTGGAAGTGTTCATGGTAGAGTACTGGAGCTTGGTAGGGATATATGGGTGAAAATTTCTCAACTGGACCTCGGATTTCTGTCAAGTTCGAATTTGTATGGGTAGAGGTTTATAGATGTGAAAGGGATTCTGAGAATTTTTTTTGAAAAATTTTTATTTTTAAAGTTTTTATAAACAAATATATTTGTAAGCAACCTTTTTTTCAACTCATTTTTCTTAAAGTATTTGACGAAAATTGATGAAATGTTTTTTGTAAGCGTAGTGACATTAGAGCTTAAAAAAAACCTTTTTATAATTTAGAAAAAAATATTTTTTTTTTTTATTTAAACATTATAAATATTCGTGTTGCATTAAAAATATGTTCTCAATGAGTGTTTTCCATTTCGTTTATATTTTCGAAAACTGCATTTATTCAAGAAAATATTTCTGAAAAAAAATTTTTTAAATTTTTCTGTTTATTACTTACAGCAACATTTGTCACAGCGCGCACGCAACGTGAAAATAATTTTTTTTTGTGATTGTTCAAGTGTTTAACGTCGCACAGTGGTACAGTCCCATACATTTTTTTTTAGAAAACTAGAAGGAGTCGGCGGATAACCTCAATGTTCCGTGTGCAACATTTATGGAGACAAAAAAATATAAAAAATTGGCGAAATCGATTTATTTTAAAGCATACCTCCCATATAAACCTAACCTCAAAAACGCGTTAAAAATGCAATAAAAAGTGCACCGATGCATATATAACTCCGAATTTTTCCGCATATGTTTGTAATAATCAGGGAACGGATTTTATGGAAATACCCTTTTTTCTCTCTATTCGCAAGTTACATATCTGATGACAATACGAATGGCAATTATAATAGGGAGGTTTTAGTTTTTTAAACTATAATTTTATTATTTCAGCTAAAGGGAGAGATTATATTCGATTAAGAATAACCACGATTTAGCTTTCCCTGATTCCATATATACATATCCAAAGTTGCCTTTTTTAAGATATTCGCCCTTACTAACTTTAATTGTAAAGGGCAATCCCTTATTCCTAATAATATGAAAGTTTTGAACGTTCCATATTTTTTAATTTGGGCGCCACTTGTATCAAGTCACGTCGAGCGCACGTTCAGTACATTTAAGGCTTTTCTTCGCGAACATCTAATAAAAATTCTGCCAGAAAACTTCAAAATGCATCTTGTGGTTCAATGTTACTACAACTATAGAGATTAAAGTTTTGCAAGTTAAAAAAACTCAAATGTAGAAAATAGTCAAAGATTAAAAGTACAAATTTTTGATATAATTAAGCTACGTATGCAGTTCATAATTTTATCTGTTTACTTGTAAAATAAACATTTCTAAAATAAATGTATTTTTTGATTATTTTTCGGTTTTTGTCTTTATTTAGTACCTTATTTTGCCTTCAAGTACCTTTTCCTGCCTATTTGTCCTTTTTTGTATGTTACCTGGTAGTAATGTTGTGTGTGAACTCCAAAAAAATGAAATTAATCGGATTATTTTAATACATAACTCCGACGCAAAACTTAACCTAAAAATGCCTTAAAAATACTGTAAATGCCATCATTATTATATGCGGTTACGTTAATAGTCGGAAATATGAGCCAATTAGTTAGTTGCTCCTGTCCGTGCTTTCTAGTGAACACGTTGCGAGCATAGGCGTTGAGCGTGCATAGTTCACGATGCATGCGCGCTGTGACAAATGTCAAAAACAGAAAAGATCTAACAATTTTTTTTTACAAATATTTTCTTCAATAACTTTGTACTAGATTGAATAAAAAAAGTAAGTTCTCTCAAAAAAAATAAAAATGCAGATGTGGTCCGCATTTTTCTCTTATTTATGTATATGGTATACAACTTTTTTGTGAGAACTTATATTGTAGGTGCTACAACGGGTCAAAGGTCAGATCTTCGAAAAATTAAAAACTTAATGTTTCAGAAAATGTTGAACTGATTTTTAAAGGATCGTTGTAAAGGTGACTTAACCCCCTTTCTTGTGATATGCATAGTTGTATACTTTGTATATAAAAATTTGAGAAAAACACATTTAAAGTAAAATGTACCTTTTTTTGTAAAAAAAAAATATTTTAATCAAAAAAATTACTAACCGATTCTCAAAAAATTGGTATCGTTGTAAAGGCGTATTGCATATTTA